TCAAAGAAAAATAGCTGAAAGTAAAAGAAATCAATATAAACAATATTTTATTCGCTTTGTGTCCAAAATGGGCAAAATTAATACTCCAAATGTATGCCAAGGCTTAAAGCAGCAACAACGCTACACGTGTAAGTAAAAATGTTTAAGTATCTGAACAAATAATTCTAGTCTCTTCCCAAATTTGATTGTCCTGACTAATCACCTGTTAGGCCTAATTAATTTTAGAATGTTTTAAATTGTTGCAATTGTGATGTATTTTAATGTGTGATATGATGAGGCTGTTGAGGAACTGTGATTGTTTTTTGAATTAATTAATTTTTTTTTATATGTTATTTTATAAATACTGATGATGGTGGAAAAATACACCGAAACGTATTTTAATTGATAAATAAAGACAATAAATGACTGAAACCCAGGAATTAATTTTGATTTGGAATTGAAACACAGTCAGGAAAGTATATATAATTTCAATTATGCAAGTTTTTTTGCATTGTACATTTTTATACTAATAATAAAAATTAATTAATCCAGTTGTTAGCTCGATATCTTTATCCCAACCTGCGGCGCTCAGTCAGAAGAACAAGGGAGGGAACCTGCGGCTTGACTTGCCACTTTCTTTGTCTTGCGTTCATAAGATTGCCGGAGAGATCTAAACACCTGGTTTAATTCGACTCCTGTTGATACTGAGGCAGGAATCTTGCAAATAATTACATTTAATTTCTATCAAATACAGATAAATTCTGGAATGTTATGGAGGGTGAAACGATCTTTCATTCCAACTACAGCACTACAAGTTACTAGACTAAAAGAAGTGGCGATTGAACCCACTTACAAAATATTTAACTATACTTTTTATAAATGGGCATTTTCTGGAAAATGTGTTATTTGGGCGATGTCACACAACAGTGCCTATTTCGCTTTAAGCTTCGGCTTATCTACAAATGTCCTTGTGGTGTGATTTTATCATACACGATGTCAATCGGATTAGAGTGGTCTACTTTAACAGCAAAATGAGTTTTTAATACACTATTTTCACGAGTCTTCACTATAATACTTATAATAATAAAAAAATGGGTCTTTCAAATTTAGTTTCAGCGCCGACTTTTGAGGATCTGTGTGTTGATAAGGAGGATCTAAAGACGCTTTGTCCATAAGAACATGTCACGTCATTTTGACACTCTATACTCGTATACAGGGTGATACAAAATTAGCGCCATTTCTTTTAAGGGGTTATAAGGACTCGCTAGGAGACTACGAGAAAAATATTGAAGGAAATGTTCCGAAAATGTCTAAAATATATTAACAGTTGAAAATCAAATTTCAACTTTGCTATTAAGTATTGTTTTGAAATTGTCCCATATTGATTGGTAGTTTATCGAAATACTTAAGCATTCAAAACGAAAAATTGCCATCTTTGCTTCAAATTATGAAAGTTTTTCATATTAAAAAGAACGCTAGAGACACTGAACGACTGGCTTCAGAAATTGAAGCAGATAGTGGACTATGGCGATGCTCGGGTTCCAGATATAGCGGAACAGATTGAGGATATAATTGCAGCAGAGTCAGGAGTATGCAAAGCATCGGGCAACAACCGACACTCTCCCAGGCACCGAATAAATGTCCCGAAAAGTCCCCCCAGGATGATACAGGAGGCTAGGACACATTAAATCCCTGGTCTAGTAAACACCGGTACAAATTGAGCACTAGTTAATTAACCGAATACGCAAAGCTGCTCGAAATGTGAGCCCAGACTGCTGTTAAGAGTGCACAATAGAGTGATATGACAGGAGCACAAACATGTCTGGAGTTAAGTTGGCAGAATTTGGTAGCCCTTTTGTGATCTATTAACTTAATTGTCTGTTATTTGATTGATATTGATCATTATTACGGAGACAGAGGAATCATGCTAATTTTAAATTGCCCTGTATATGTTATCACTTATCTTTTATATGAATAGTTTTCTTTAACTTTCTATCGACGAATAATATGCTTTCATATTCTATCCGAATTTTTCTAGATCCACTAATGCCATTTTTATACCGCTGTATAATGATAACACGATTCAGGCTTATCAGAATTTTAATCTTCGTGTTATTTGTCGCTGGTTTAACTATGGTTCTATTACAATCATATAAGTTTTTGGAAGTATTTGATGTCAACTTCTGGATTCAATATGCACCGTTTTATTTTCTTACAGTATATGTAAGTATCCATTATGATATATTTAAAACCAATATAAAAAGTAGAGTTATGAGAATTTTGTACTAAACAGTTTTTCAAATAACCTTTCGACTTTAAAGACGCCGGAATTAATCGATGTGATTCGATATTGCCTCCTCTGCATATGTACTTGAATATGTTACGGCTAACGTTCGAAGTGATGTTAATCTTGATATTAACCGGTTAGACTCGAGAATGACATGATTGCTTTCGTAATGTTAATGTTAAATTAATAACAGTTAATGTCCGAATATTGTCTTAGCTAAATGGTACTGGCGTAAGAAATATTCCTGGTAGAAAGTGATAATTTATTTACAGTGTATCTCATAATATATTCAACATGAACAAGCAAAAGGGATGAATTCGGCTTTATAAGATAATGTTAATTATATGAATTTATTTCCACATTAACATTACATTGGTGTTAAACTCGAGATTAACCAGTTAATGTCGAGATAAGCCAAGTTCTAAGTTTAACCGTAACATATTCAAGGTATTTCATGAGTAAGAGGCATTATTTTAACCCCGTATTCTACGTCCGAAAGTAACTCTAGTTTGCTAAGGGTACAATTCAAGCGATGATTTCCATTTAAATGTGCCATTTCCATTATCCAATTTGCCCCACCTATCTTACTTTAGAATCCTAACCGAGTTTTAAAGAAATTTAACATTTCTCATTTTTTTAATTAAATTTCAACACCCAATCCGCAATGAAAATCCGCAATGAAACATTTTGTAGCTCTCATTTATATAGCAAACTATGGTTATTTTCGGACTTCGGACTAATGCCAGTTCCTCATGCAAGATTTTGTATATATACATACATATATACAATGTATGTATAATTACATACATAATATAATTTCCGATGACTTTCAATTAAATCACTAATTATTTTGGGGTTTCAGATGGTCTTAAACTCGTATCTAATGATCACATTATATGATATTTGGACGCCAAGATTGAAGATAGCCAGAAGATGCGTTTTTACAGACTTACAATTATTAGGATCAGATTTTAAAGCGCAGATTACATCCGACGCTAGCACTAAATCTATCTTGTTTCTTGTATATCTTAGTCTCATAACTAGTTTAATGATTACTCATATAATATCTCTGAATTCTAATCGAAGAGATATATTTATCATCGCACTTTTAATGGATGAAAATGTATCCCCAACTGTAAGTAATTAATTAAGTCTAACATTGAGTTTCATAACAAGTCACAGAAATGCATGCCTTTGACAAATTGAAAAGCACGCAACTAAGTACGTTTCATCTGATTACGATTATGTGTAATTGAATGATCAATCACTGAAACGGTTCATACAGCACGTCATTTTGTAGCTTGCAGAGATATCTCATTGGATAATTTGCGGAATTTCATGTGTGTCTTATGGAATTCTGTGCCTTCCAGCGTATTACGTATTATATGGCCTTTTCTACTTACAATTTCATTTCGAAATCCTATTAAAATATGTACAAGAAATAAATGGTTATCTCAAATTTGATCGTCAAACCAATAGAGCTGTTGAGTCACATCAGAAAAAAGTGAAGAAGAGTCTTGGATTCATTATCAAACGCCACCAAGAAATATTGATGTATAGTATAGATTACCCATACATGCATGCTCGTTATGTTAAATATGCATATTTTAGATTTGTGCAACAAGTTTCTGCGTATTGTGTACCTCATTCACTTTATACTATAGGTGCCATGCTTATTTTAATGTTTGCCATATTTTCAGTCTTTGTGGTAAGTTTATCTGATGTAAAATAATATTTCATGATGTTTTCCACTTACCATATTAAACTTACTTTGTTAATCATTCTAGCCGGAGAACGGTAAATCTTTCAGAAATTTTTTCTATGTTATTACGAGAATAAAAAAGGTATCGTCAGTCAATCAATCAATCAAATCAGTCAAAGTTTTAATGTTTTAATATTTTGAACAGACAGACCGACATAGGTCGATAGCCCTTTTGTATAACAAATTATGAATTTTTACCACTTCTATTTTAGCCGATGTACACATGGGTTCAATCAGTAATTGCCGCGGCAACTTTTTTTGAGGGAGCTTTTTACTTATGCTATCAAGGACAGATTATTGAGAACATGGCAAGTAGAACAATATACTGAAAAAGATAAATATCTTCCTGAATCCATTATAACATATGTAGTTGTCATGAAAAATCCCAGTCAATCTCGAACCTTTCTGACTTTTTAATAGTTGACAAAAGATCGGAATTTAACTTACATTTTGCTTAAAGACATTAATATTTTCTACTTTACTGAATCGCTCAGTATTGATGACCAGATACAATTTTGTAGAATGAAAAATTTGTGTCAGAATTGGAAAATCTGGAATGGTTTACATGGAATAAGGATAATATAAAAATTTACTTAATCCTGCACCATACGGCAAACCTTAAACTTAACGTAAACGTAAAATCGTTTAAGTCATTAAACTTGGATTTATTTAAACAAGTAAGACTTTTTATTTAGTGGAAATAATAAAACTTAATTTTAATGTACCTTGTCGTATAATGCGTTATAAACGATTTAAAAATTCGTGTCTCCTTTCTGTGGTCTCATACACGGTGATTCAAAATTGGCGTCATTCCTTTTATGGCCGTCAATTACTCTCATTTTTGTAAAGTGTGAAACACAAATAATTTTTTTTATTTTTTTCAAAATATATAATTAAATCGAAGTTTGAATCAATTAATTACTTTTTTTCGTACATAATTTGGCAATAGCAATCCTCATAAACACTGAAAAAAATATTCTACGTTCTTTTCAAAATTATCGTCTGCTGTTCAGAGCGAAATTGCCTATGTATTTTTGTTTCTTCATATTAGTAACATTAGCCTTAATATTTCAAAATTTTAATAATATTTAGTATGCCAATAGTTTCACTGAATTACTTCAGTCTTTATGAAACTTTTGCAACTCGATATTTTAAGTCATGCTTGCAGGGTTTGAGCGTGGAATTTATTAGTGATTGCTAAAACTTTCCGCCTTTTAAGGGCAGAATAAGGAAATATTTAAATATGGATATCAATTTGTTTTAATTAAAAAAATAGTTAAACTGTTTTAAATGAAAACAAATATTGAGTAGTATCCCCACGATATGGTTAAATCTTCAAATGTTCACTTGGTTATATATTAAGTTAATAACGGGAGACGCTTATTTGTTATTTGATCCAGATCTCTTAATATAACCATAGAATGTATTGCAGAAATTCACTTGGAGAATTTGTACTTATGCCTGTCATATATCTAATATTTATAGATATACCTACATTCTGCATTGATATATTTACATTAAAACATAATTTTAGATGGTGAAACTTGCATACTCACTAACAAATATCCTCAGATCCACAAGACATTAGAAGAGACTTATAAGATGGAAAGTTATGAAAGATTTTGCGATGTAAGAGAATGTGTGCCTGTTAGTCTGGTATACGGTTTTCCATAATAAACTGTAAAATTTAATTAGCTATTTAAAATGTATCAATTTGACTAATAAAGGATTTCATGTTTCTAAACTAGAAAAATGGCAATATTTTGAACTGTTTCGCTAGTTTTTATTTGCCCTTATTGGTGCACGCAGCAAGTATAGTACATTTCGAATTGTACAATTTTTCCAATTTTAGTACCTTGTTTTAATGGAGATCAGTTTCTATAAGAACAGCAACAAAATGTTAATCGAAATGTTGCTCTTCACATTTATTGCATTTATTATATAAATGTCTATCCAATTCTTCTTCACTGTTAATTAATATTGCTCTAAAATTTCATGGAATCTTAGATTATGAATTGCATCAGTCTGTAATCCAGATTTCGAAATTTAAACTAAAGTCTTCGCATATCACACAACCTTCACATTTGCATTATCTGGCAAAGTGAATTTTCCCTGGATGAAAATAATCGTTTCCCGTAATTGTTGAATTTTTATAGATGGTTGATGTGGTTTTATTGTGAAAACTAGTTACTTTTAAAAATATAATAGTTTATTTGCAAAAGTACACTACTGCCCATGTAAACAAACTAAGTAAACAATCCTTACTTAAATCAGGTACTTCAAAAGTTTGGTTGTAAATGATTTAACTGATTAACCTTAATAACCAAAAAGTATCCGTTGGTCACTTTTTAAACTATCGATTTTAAGGAATAATTAATGATAAGTTTTAAGTAGTTTTATATCTTTGTCCTTGCATTGATTTAAACAAAGCAGACTATACAATTAAACTGCAGGATGTAAAGTAGAGCTATAATTATCATTCGAATCAGTTGCTCTCAAGACTACTGGTTAGTCCAACTAACTTAACTTAATTATGGTTTTAAATAAGGTCGTTTCCAAGAAGAAATTTAATAAATACTTGATGGAAGAAATGCTCGTAAAAGAGCCATTTTGTAGATTCAACACAACTACTGCTGAGGGTGGTATGTATTAAACATATTGGCTTATCTATTTATTTTTCAGATGTTTTTATTTAATATTGCCAACTGCCCATTTGGAAATTCAAAATTAAAAATCAAGCACTATATTTAAAAGTTCCAAAAATATTAATGTTGTTTGTTTCCGAGCTTTTCCTCATAATAATATTTTTTTAATTGCAAAAAGTTATTGAATTTATACTTCACTTACGTTAATGTCCCGGTTGGTGCAGTTCAATTGTATCGCAAATAATATTGTTCATGCTAATATTTTAATTTATTTGCACTTTTTACTACTCCACTATATTATTACGGGTCACTTAAAAATGTTAAATTGGTTTTGCTAATGCTGAGATTTGGTTACTCAATAATATGGTCTAAGTTATGTTCAAATGCATTCTTACAACATTTTTAATAATGTAAGCTGTTTAGTGCCTTTTTTCTTTGTTGGTTATATCTTGGATTGGCCGTTCCGACCAAATCGGATTTATTCGTTTAAATTGCCCTTAACGCCTATATTGTTTCATGTATTTGAGGAGAAACTTTTTGATAAAAAATAACACTTTTACTTATACTTTTTTTATTCTACTTATTACTATAAGTTACAATTTGATGACATTCTCATATATTATAGACACTTTAATGCCTATTGTTTACCGAGTCCTTATGACAATTGGATACAAATGTACCAGAATTTTACTTTATATGTTATTCATCATTGGTGTCATTATGGTTTTGGTTCAAACATACCAATTTCTGGTTGTATTTGATTCAAGTTTTTGGATCCAGTACGCGTCGTACTTTTTACTTTCTTTATATGTAAGTATTTTAAAGAATGTATTTTCCATCCTCTCAAATCTATTTCTTTTGGGTCGAACATGTAAAAAGATCTTTCGAGGATTGTTAAAGTCATTCTGCTAAAGTGCTTAGTATTTTAAAATGACAAGTTCTTTGAAAGTTCAGCTTTATTTAAACTTCCTGGAGATGTTCAGACAACGAACTCTTTCAAGACAGAAAAGAAATTCACAAAGTATGCTAAAGTTTAAAACTCATAGAAACTCTATACTTGAAAATAAATTAATGCTTCATAAATCGTATCTCGTTGATCGATATGCAACTAATAAATATTATTTTTTAGCTAGCAGTTTCCACGCCTATAATCGTTCAACTATATAATATTTGGATGCCAATATTGCAAAAAACTAGAAAGTGTGTCGTAATAGACGCCGATTTTTTAGGCTCAGATTTTAAAGCGCAGATGAAGTCAGACGCTAACATTAAAACATTCGTATTTTTAATATCTCTAATTATGATAGCCGGTTTGATGCTTACCAACATTATCGCTCTCAGATCAAATAGAGAGAATATATTCACGCTCTCACTTTTATTAGATGAATATCTTCCTCCAAGGGTGAGTAATTAATTACATATACATTTCCATATTTGCAAATGTATGTATTGCATATGGAAAGGTATACCTACAAATAATATTTATGGATGCTAAGACGATAAAATTTGTAGCTCGGCGATATATCTCATTGGATAATATGCACAGTTTTATTAGCATCTCATACAGTTCTCAGTCTATCAACATACTACATCTTATATGGGTTATCGTATATGAAGGTTCAGTATGATATTTTATTATAGTTCCTGGAACTTATAAAGGAATATCTCAAAATACACCGGCAAATAAGTACTTCCGACTTAATAAAGACAAATAAGACTTCCGTATCACCCCAACAAACTGTGAAGAAAAGTTGTGTTTATTATCAAGCGTCACCAAGAAATTTTAATGTATAATGCAGTTTAATTTACTCGCTAATTATATTAAAAACGAATATTTTAGGTTAATAAGTGAAGTATCTGCAAACGATATAGCGCATTCACTTTTTGCTCTGGCAACCATGCTTATTTTAATGTACGCTCTACTTACGGCCTTTGTGGTAAGTGCGGTTTTTCATTTCCTGATTGGTTTTAATTCCCTAAGTATAACTGACATTAGAAAAAAATGCAAATTGAAATGGAAAAAATGTTAGGGCTATGTATTACTGATCGCTACTTATGGAAAACTGGCATCTTGAAAACACGCTCTTCAGAAATAATCGATTCCTCAGATGGGCTTGGTCGAATGAGGACCATGCGATGCAATAATTTATATCTTTAATTTTTCGCTTTAAATTCTAACGATTCTTTCATAACGCATTTTTAGCATAAGCATAGTAATGTGTATCCTCTATTGAACTCTAGAAAGGGGATGGAATTTTGGGGAACGTTTGTAATCGTAACAGGAAAATAAGTCAGCTTAAGTTAGTATCACTAACAGATACCCCAAGGTTTCTGTAACTATTCGATGCTTAATTATCTAAACAGTTGTGAACACTTTGTAAAACTACAAACGTTATAAATAAAACATTTTTTATTAATATTATCATTATCTTAAAGTTTCAGTCGATCTATACATGGATTGAATCAGGAACAGCTTTTGTAATATTATTTGTGTTTGGGTATTACTTATGCAGTCTTGGACAAACTATTGAAGACGTCGTAAGTAGGAGAACCAAGTGCAACTAGAACAGATGACGCATTTGGAAGCAAATTTAAAAAGGATATATTTTGACAAAATTTATAATTGTAATTGAACACTTTTAGAATGAAAAATTTGTATGCGAATTGAAAGATCTTGAATGGTATGCTTGGAGTAAAGACAATCTCAAAATTTACTTAATTCTTCATGTTATGGCTAGACTGCCAATCAAATTACACATCGTATCATTTGTTTCATTAAACTATGAATTATTTAAACAAGTAAGTAAAATTTTATTTCTGCACAATCACTTAATTTTTCATTTGCAAAGGTTTTGATCAACTAAGCGTACATTTTATTTACCACTTTTCCTGCTACTATGCTGAGAGTATTTCAGAAGTATGTACGAGCCCTCAGAACTATATGCTTAGTTTAAATATTTTTTCTTTGCTTTTAAATTTATATCCGTCAGTTTGAGTTCGATAAGCTTTATACTTTTACAAAAACATTACTTTTACGTAAAATAGTTCATTCAGATTTTAAATATTCAGTTCGACTTTTTACACTATCTTCTATTTTTTAGGTTTCACCAATAGCCATTAGACCATACTTTAAATATTCTTATTTTTCACACACTTCCATTAGGTAATTTGTAATAATATTTTAGATCATAAAGCTCACCTACTCAGTGATAAATATTCTCCGATCCACAAAAGCATCAGGCACCTTTAGAAAAATCGGCGGAGATTGATCGCTGGAATCCATTTTGCTATTGTCTATTATTTTGCATTCTGCGACTATTTAAATAATATATGGGGTTTTTAAAACGTTTTTTATTTGAAGCTACCTATTTGTGGAGTGAGAAATTAATATTGTATATTTATAGCAATTATATCAGTAAAAAATGTATATAGTTATGATATCCTATTTAGCCAACTTCACAAATTTATGAAATTCTATTTCGCAGTTAAGCATAAGGAAATATCTAATTATGCTTACGAGGTACA